GGGCGTCTTGGAGGCCTCTTGGGCCGTCTTGGGGCTCCTTGGGGCCGTCTTGGGAGCCTCTTGGACCAGTCTGGGGTCATCTTGGAAGGCTCTTGGGTGATCCCAGGGTGATCTTTGGAAGCTCTTGGCCGTCTCGGGTCGTCGGAAGGCCGAAAAAAAAACATGCCAAAATCCGGCAAACACCGAAGGACAATGCATGAGTTTGGCCTCTTCGGGCCTTCCTGGAGGCCCTCTTGGAGGCCCCTTGGGCCATCTAGAAGACCAGTTTGGAGCCTCTTGGACTGTCTTGAGCCATCTTGGGCCGTCTTGGTGGGCTCTTGGCCCTTCTGACGCCGTCGGGGGCCTTCCTGGAGGCCTCTCTCGGCCGACTTGGGGCCCTCTTGCGGTGCTCCAGGGTCGTCTTGGAGGCCATCTTGGGCATCTTGGAGGCCTCTTGGGCCGTCTGGGGTCTCCTTGGGGCCGTCTTGCGGACCTCTTGGACCGTTCTGGGGCCATCTTGGAAGCCTATTGGGCGATCTTGCGGCAATCCTTGATGGGCTCTAGTGCCAGCTCGGGCCGTCGGAGGGCCGAAAAGAAGCACATGCAAACATCCTTCAACCACCACTGGCACATCAGTGAGAAACGCTTTTGGAGGACCCTGGGCCCGTCTAGGAGACCAGTTGGGGGGCCTCTTGGGCTGTCGTGGGCCATCTTCGAGCCATCCTGGGCCGTCTTGGTGGGCTCCTGGCCCTTCTGCGCCGTCGGAAGCCGTCCTGGAAGCTTCTCTGGGCCGACTTGGGGCCCTCTTGGAGTCCATCTTGGACCATCTTGGGGCCCTTTTGGGGCAGTCTTAGGGGCCTCTTGGGCCGTTCTGCGGCCATCTTGGATGCATCTTGGGCGACCTTCGGGGGCTCTTGGGCCGTTTAAACAATACATTGTGGCCTCTATTCTTCCTGGAGGCCCTCTTGGAAGCCTCTTGGGCCGTCTTGGCGACCTCTTGGGGGCCTTTTGGGCCGTCTTGGGCCATCTTGAGGCCATCTTGGGCCGCCCTGGAGGCTTCTTGGGCGGACTTGGAGGCCATCTTGGGCCATCTGGGCCCTCTTGGAGGCTATATTGAGCCATCTTGGAGAATGTGCTCCGGACGTTTTGCTCGCTTGGGCGCCTTCTGGGTGGCAGGCGAGATCGGCCGAAGCCCCAGGGGTAGTTCTTTTGGAAAAGAACCATGACCAGAAAGGGTAGGATCTAGCACGCCAGGCACCCCTTTGGCAAGCCAACGAGGGGCGACGGATCGAAGACGCCTACGGCGAATCACCGCCGCCCCCTGCCTTTTTGGAAACGCCGATGTGGCCGAAAGTTGGACTAGAGCTTGGCCAAGCTATCGGACCATGAGTTCCACGAGTCGGTTTGGAAAGCTTTCGGGGAACACATGGGAGAGAATGATTATGAACAGGAAGAGGAAGAGGAAGAAATAGAGTAGGAGGATGAGGGTTGTTAGGAGTCTCTTGGGGCACCCTTGGGGTCTGTTGGGGGCTTCTTGGGGGCCTCTTGGAGGCCTCTTGGAGGCATCTTGGGGGCCTCCTTGGGCATCTTGGGGGCCTTTGGGGGCTTCCTGGGGGTCTCTTTGGCCGTCTTAGGGCGTTCCTGGTCCGTCTGACGCCGTCTGGAGCCGTCTTGGGGGCCTCTCTGGCCGTCTTGGGGCCCTCTTGGGGCGCTTCAGGGCCGTCTTGGAGGCCATGTTGGGCGTCTTGGAGGCCTCTTGGGCCGTCTTGGGGCGCTCTTGGGGCCGTCTTGGGGGGCCCTTGGGCCGTCATAGGGCCTTCTTGGAGGCCTCTTGGGCGATCTTGGGGGCCTCTTGGGCCGTCGGAAGGCCGAAAAGAAGAAAACGCAAAAAACCTTCAAAAACCTAAGGAAAACCAATGATTTTGGCCTCTTCGGGCTCTCCTGGAGAACGTTTTGGAGGCCTCTTGGGCCATCTTGGAGGCATATTGGGGCCATCTTGGCCGTCTTGGAGGGCATCTTGGGCCGTCTTGGAGGCATCTTGGAGCCATCTTACCCGTCTTGGAGGCCATCTTCGCCGTCTTGGAGGCATCTTGGAGGCCATCTTGGGCCATCTTGGCCGTCTTGGAGGCCATCTTGGGCCAAGTTGGGGCAACAAAGGCATTGACAGATGGATTTTCGGAAATTTGCGGGTGGCCGGCGGGACGGGCCGAAGCCCACTGGGGAGTTCTTTTAGAAAAAGAACCAAAACCAAAACCTGAAACGTCCAGCACGCCGTGCACCCCTGCAAGCAGGGGGCGGCGGATCGAAGACGCCTACGGCGAATCACCGCCGCCCCCTGCCTTTTTGGAGACGCCGATGTGGCCGAAAGTTGGATTAGAGCTTGGCCAAGCTATCGGACCATGAGTTCCCCGAGTCGGGTTGGAAAGCTTTCGGGGAACACATGGGAGAGAATGATTATGAACAGGAAGAGGAAGAGGAAGAAATAGAGTAGGAGGATGAGGGTTGTTAGGAGTCTCGTGGG